CTTCTCACAGTGGAAGGATGGACAGAAACACCTGTGGATGTTTTCAGATCTGAAGCAGCTTGATTTTCTCCTCTCTCTCAGAGATGAAAGCTTTAAGTGCTGTTTATCTGATGGGGGCAGTTTTGGGGTCGACCAGCTCTTCCAGGTGGTTGTTAGAAGCCCCATTTTCTCTGTAGTTTTTTTGAACTCCAGTTTTGGAAATTCTGGCTTTTCGTTTATTTTATCCCTCCATATTAAAATAGGATCTTCTCAGAGGTCTCTAACTTTTGCAGAATAACCTTTGCAGAATGTAAAGAACTTCAAACTTCAGTGGAAAGTATAAGAGGAGATATTTTATTATGAGTTAAACTGGAGTTGAAACTGATCTCTGCAGCATTTTTGTCTCATTGTTGGATGAGTGCGGACTGGGACTAGAGCAACCTCTCTGCTACCCTAAAGTGAAGGCCTAAAGCCAATAGGGTGCTGATAACATCGTGTACAGCCTGGGACAACACTGATAGAAGCCAAGCTGCTCCATCTATACCTCTAACTGCAAGTGAGACAAGATTGTGATAACCATATCAGCCAATAAAAATGACTGTAGAAGTTGGAGACTGCAGTTAAACAGTGTTCCCCCCTTGGAGTTTGATTCCATGGAGGAGATTTTCTCTCTCTCTCTCTCTCTCTCTCTCTCTCTCTCTCTCTCTCTAGCTCTGCTCGCCTTCGATCGTCGGATTTGCCCTTCACAAGAGGAAACCGTCCCAGTTAACGTAGACCCTTAATGCGATTAGACCCACGGCCGGCAACTTAAAGATAATTTAATGCATCTCCGCGGCGCCGTAGACGTCACGCCTCCTTACTGTCCCCGGCACAATCGGAGAGGAGGCGGAAGTTGACTTTGGAATTAGCATACAATAGACGGAAGGGTGGGGTGTGAAAGAGCAAGGCTGGGAAATGTGTTCCAGGCTTTAAGCGTGCTAGATTTAATGCTATTTACACTTGGAATACTCGATAGCTCTTGAGCTCTAATTGGAGATGAGCCCTGGTAAATCTGTAGCCAACGGGCAAAAAGTGCAAAGAAGTGGTCGGATTGAGCAAACACCACACTTTAAACCGAGTGGGAGAGAGTGGGGGTGTTTATTATCCTTTATACAGTAAGATTTCTCTGCAATTTGTTAATAAGATATGGATTAATTAGCCTAGCCTAGCCACTAGTTCAGATGTTTCTGATTCCATCTACAGTTTCATTTCAGGAGATAAGAATGGAAAAAGTTGAATGGAAATCAAATCTAATTAGGTAAATATTAACTGCTTATCAAGGTCACTTTGAGGTACCCCTGGCCAGGTCTGGCCTTCAGCTCCAACTGTTCTGAATGCAGCTTTATTCACTTCTATTTCTATTTCTCAAATTTTTCTGATGAATTTCTATTCAGTTGTATTTCTGTATTTCATTTCTCAAACATTACTGAATCCAGTGGTGTTCGGTTGTATTTCTATTTCTCTTTTCTGAATGTGTCTGTATTCACTTCTGTTTCTATTTTTTTCTATTTCTCAAACATGAGTCTAGATCCATTCAGTTTTATTTCTATTCATCAAAATATCTGATCCAGCTCTATTTGGTTCTATTTCTTATTTCAATTTCTCACACTTTTCTGAGTCAAACACTGTTCACTTCTATTTCTATTTTCTGAGCAATTTCTGTCCAGTTCTGTTACTTTTTTCCATTTTTCAAACATTTCTGTTGCATTCAATTTTATTTCTACTGTCTGGTTGTTTTTCAATTCTATTTCTATTTTCTGTCTTTTTTCAAACATGTCTGATCCATCTCTATTTAATTGTATTTTCTGTTTCCCCCAAAACTGTTCTGATTCATCTCTATTCAATTCCATTTGTTTTATATTTCTCCCACTTTTCACATCCAGGTATTTTCATTTCTATTTTTATTGTTTCTGATCCAAATTTACTCACCTCTATGTCTATTTTCTATTTCTTAAATATTTCTGACAGAGCTCTGTTCACTACTATTTCTATTTGCTAAGTCTACCACTTTTCTGAGTCAAGCTCTGTTCATTTCTATTTGTTTTCTGATCCATTTCTATTTCTGTTTTCCATTTCTTAAGCATTTCCAATCCGGCTTCTTTCAGCTCTTATTTCTAAAATCCTCAGATTAATCTCTATTCGTCTCTATTTCTGTTTTCTATTGATCAAACTCTCCTGAATTCAGTTTGTGTCTGTTTGTCTGTTTATCCTACTTCTCTGAAAGTGGCTCTACTCAGTTCTATTTCTATTTTCTGTTTCTAAACATGTCTAAATTCAGCTCTACACTTTAAAAAAGTGAAACAGGGCAGAAGCTAATTGGTGTTTTGGGGGTTTGAATTGTTAAATATTGCTTTTGTTCATCTAATCTGTTTATTTCATTCGAAGTATTTGATCTATTTGAACAAACCTACTTACAAGCAATAAAGTAGATAAATGCCTATGTGGTGTCATCAAAAATGCCATCAGTCATGTCATATGTTGAAGGTCATCCTGGCTGACACAGTGTGGTCTGAATCAGCATTCAGCTCTAACTTCTCAGAGTTCCTCTACCGCTCCATTCCAGGTTATAATAATAGACGAATGCCTAAATATATCCTTATAGCATCAGTAACTGCACATTTTCAAGGTCACTCTGAAGCTCTGCGAGGAAGGCTTTATAACTCTGATATAAGGTGCGTGTGGTTCCAGTGGGAAGTTGTGTAATCCTCAAATCTTTCATGATCACCTTAATCCTTCTCATTCGTAGCGTGAGATTAGCTGAGCTCATATAGGCAGGAGCCACGTGGCTCTTATGGAAATATATTATGAAATAGATTGAAAATTATTCTCTATTGTAATCCAGTATTTTAATACATGGAACATAAGGATCATGTATCGCCAAATATACAATTCAGATTGTAAATATCGCCATTCAGAAGTTTGCAGTTGTTGATTGATACATGTGTAAAATGACTCTAATATGAAAATAATATTCTTTCAATTTGTGGGAAGCTGTAAAAATTACAGAATTTTCCGTGATGAATGATGTGGATGATTCTGTAAAACCTGAGAATGCTGTATCACATGGAGAATGACCTTATAATACAATTAATATCCCGAATGGCTCATATTCAAAAAGCAGTGACCAAATCTCACTAAACAAATAGATATTCATAGATACTGCATAACAAGAAATTACTATAAACAACACGATTGGAATCGGCCAAGATCGGAATCGGCACAGTTTTGCTCAGATGTGACTGGCAATTAGCCAACTTATCATTTTAATTTTGATCAATCTGTGTTGCACTTTTATGAAAATAATATTTCGAGTAAACAGTGTGAGCTAAGTAAGAGCTCTTGACTTGCTGTGCAAATTAGCCAGTCTATTTGTGTATTTGTGTTATTTCAATAAGCAACTGATTTTTTAAATTTAAGAACTTAAAATTTCAATTTGGCTGATTAAACTGCATTTATTTTATTATGGCAATGGCTGATAGAAAGTGCTGGAAATGTGCTGCTATGCTTCATGTGTTCATTTAGCACACACAGCTGTGGGTCAGAAAAAGCCTAAAAATTGGCCAGTTTTACTGTGAGGAAATCAGAATTTGAATTGGAAAATTCATGATACCTAATAATTACACTTAATTACATAATAACCATAATATAACTCCTCAAAATGCTTTAAATTGTGAATAAATCATGGGTTGATGTTTTGATGTCTAGTTTACAACATTTTAATCCACATTGCATACGTTGTTACTGAATATCCATTATTACTAGGACAACATGTGAATGGTAGTTAATGTGAAACAGTACTTCAATGTTAGAGTTATTATTGGTATATAACAGTGTGCAGTGAACATATTTGGTTCAGACCTGTTTAAAATATAATGTAAATACATTGTTGCTCATTTATGTTCTAACATATATGTGTAGGCAGGTTGCTTCCTAGTACATTATATATAGTATTGTATATTGCAATGTTAACATGTAAATATACGTCAAAGGCATTCTGTTCACACTACATTAAGGTACTACTGTAATTTTATGGCTTCACCATAAAATATTACGATATTTATAAATACATATACATATAGGACTTTCCATATGTGCTGCACGAGGCAGTCCAGGGTTAAACACAGTCGGAGTGATGTGATAGAGTTACAGTGATTACATAAACGCCTTGCTTTGCACTATGACAGACTGACTCGTTAAATCCAGACACAAGTCTTTCTTTTATCGCCTTGCACTGCCCTCTATGGGTCTCTCTCTCTCTCTCTCTCTCTCTCTCTCCCTCTCTCTCTCTCTACCTTTTTCAGTGCATATACATTTTGCGGAGAGAACGCGCGCACACGCGCACGCGCTCCCTGTCACCGAACACGCCGCGTGCTTTTAGTGCCGGAGCTCGCGATTAACATTTTTCTCACCAAAAAAAAAGAAGAACTCGCGAGCCAATGGCGTTCCAAGTTGCACTAGTTGACGAAACAATAGTTGACATGGCAACACGATAACGGACGAAGACTGGGCCGAAAAAAGCCGAACACTGGGAAAGATATAGAAATACATGAAGGTAATGAAGCCGGAGGGTGGATGGTGGTGATGGTTTCCTCGCATTTGGGCGCTGGATGGTGGAAATAATAAAGACTCCTTAGGAAGGCTGTGTGCGTGCGTGCGCGCGCGTGTGCGCGTGTATGTGTGTGCGCGCGCGAGCTGTACCATCGCAGCCTACCGGGGAACGAGCATTTCTCCCGTTTCGCCTCGCGGAAAGGATGGACTGCGTTCGCATGGATGTACCGGACGACGACGCATACGTATATTAACATGTCTTAAAGCTGCCTCGCGCGTGAGTGACAGTCTGCCCGCTGGATTCGTCGTCATCCCCCCCTCTTTTCCTCCTCCTGCCGCTCGTCGAGCTGGAAGCTGGGGGCGAATGAGAGTCTGTGCTGGAAATCCGGGGCTGGAAGCATCTCGGCGTCCAAACCGCGAGGATTTTACAGTGGAGGTTGGGAATAAAGTGGGGGAGAGAACGCCGGTGTCGTGATGCTCGCGCGCTGGAAACGTTCAGCCTGGTAAGCAACGAGGATCCGAGAATGAAACGCCATTCATTACTAACGATGTGGAGCCGTCCGTGGTGCTGTAGGCTCTCTGCGGAGCTGTCCGTGGTGCTTAATTTCGCCATGGAAGTGACCGTGCTGGCTAATTTTACTGAGGAGCTGTCCGTGGTGCTTAAGATTATCTTGTATCGCTGACCGTAGGTGCTCAGATTTTGTGCTCTATGGAAATGTCCGTGGGTGTTCAGCTTCATCCCGAGACGTCCGAGGGTTCTTTAGCTTTCCTCTGGAGATCTAGACCACTGTGCTCAGATTTTCTCTCTAGAGCTCTTCGTGGTGTTTTAGATGCCCATGGTGTTCAGGTTTTATTTGGAGATGCCCATAGAGCTCAAATCTTCTTTGGAGATGCCCATAGAGCTCAAATCTTCTTTGGAGATGCTCACAGAGCTCAGATTTTCTTTGAAGATGCCCATAGTGCTGAGGCTTTCTTTAGGAGATGCCCTTGGTGTTCATGTTTTCTTTGGAGATGCCCATAGAGCTTTATTTTTCTTTGCAGATGCTTATAGAGCTCTTTTGAAGATGCCCATGGTGCTGAGGTTTTCTCCGTAGATGCCCATTGTGCTGTGGTTTTCTTTGGAGATGCTCATAGAGCTCAGATTTTCTTTGGAGATGTCCATGTTGCTGAGGTTTTATGTGGAGATGCCCATAGAGCTATTTGAAGGTGCCCATGGTGCTGTGGAGTTTTCTATGGTGCCCTGATGTCTCTGGGAGACACCCATGTCCCCTCAGATCTCTGTGGAAATGGTGCTCAGGTATTTCTGGAGACACCCATGTTCCCTCATATCTCTGTGGAGATGGTGCTCAGGTATTTTTGGAGACATCCATGTTCCCTTAGATCTCTGTGGTGATGGTGCTCAGGTATTTCTGGAGACGCCCATGTTCCCTCATATCTCTGTGGAGATGGTGCTCAGGTATTTCTGGAGACACCCATGTTCCCTCAGATCTCTGTGGAGATGGTGCTCAGGTATTTCTGGAGATGCCAGTAGAGCTATTTGAAGGTGCCCATGGTGCTTTGGAGTGGTCTATGGTGCCCAAATGTCTCTGGGAGACCCCCATGCTCCTTCAGATCTCTGTGGAGATGGTGCTCAGGTATTTCTAGAGATGCCAGTAAGGTTATTTGGAGGTGTCCATGGTGCTTTGGAGTGGTCTATGGTGCCCAGATGTCTCTGGGAGACCCCCATGCTCCTTCAGATCTCTGTGGAGATGGTGCTCAGGTATTTCTGGAGATGCCAGTAGAGCTATTTGAAGGTGCCCATGGTGCTTTGGAGTGGTCTATGGTGCCCAAATGTCTCTGGGAGACCCCCATGCTCCTTCAGATCTCTGTGGAGATGGTGCTCAGGTATTTCTAGAGATGCCAGTAAGGTTATTTGGAGGTGTCCATGGTGCTTTGGAGTGGTCTATGGTGCCCAGATGTCTCTGGGAGACCCCCATGCTCCTTCAGATCTCTGTGGAGATGGTGTTCAGGCATTTCTGGTGGTATCCACAGTGTTGAATGAGGCTTGTTTACATGGCCCCAAGTTTTTCAATGGTGCCCACCTTTTTTCAGCAGAAGCCCACGTAGCTAAGGCTTTTCTGCGGAGGTGCACGATTTATCAGGAGGTGCCCTGATTTAGTGTGACAAGCCCACGGCTCTGGGGGTCTCTATGGAGCTGTCCGTGGTCCTGAACCGTGTTTGGCCATGAGTGCAGTTTGCTGCTATAGAGCTGGAATACTGAATTAGGCTTCTCGGGCGCCCGAACAGTCGCACTATTGTGGAAAGGGAACGTACGCCGCCTCGACACGCATGCAGCACACAGGTTTCTCCTTCCATACGACCCCGGTAAATAATAAATAAATAAGTAAATAAATACAATTATAATTATTAAAAATTATTATAATTAATAAAAACGAAACGGCGTTCGTGTCTTAGAGTTAACTGGTTTCTTCTTTGCTTTGTTAGGCAAGGTGAGCTTTATATTAGAAGAGATCGTTCATGCAATAAGTCATAATTCAAACCCGTATTTATAGATCAGCTGGCTCGTGGATGAATTGCGCGAGAGCACGAGCTCGGAGACATACATTTATTCTTCTTTTTACGGTTATTTATTTTCACTGCTATTGTGAAAGTGGCATCTCTCTCTCTCTCTCTCTCTTTCTCTCTCTCTCTCTCTCAGTGTATGTGTGCGTGCGTCTTCGACACCACAGTGCGAGCGAGCCAGAGAGAGAGAGAGGGAGAGAGAGAGTTCATTTGCATGAATCATGAGAGCTTCTTCTGCCTACAAAACGCTTTAATCCCCGTGTTTTTTTGTTTAGATGCTCTCGATGACGTCGCTCGAGCTCTACCGCGAGGCTGAGATGTGACTAAACGCACTCAGCGCGTTTTCCTTTCTTTTGTTTTCTTGTGTTTTCCTTCTTCTTCTGTTTTTTTTTTTTCGCCGGTTTGCGACGCGCAGAAAAAACCGAACGTCGAACATTTCAGCGCTCGAGAATGCCTACGTCGCCTCGAGACGTCTTTTCACGAGGACTGGCACGTACGCAGCGTTAGAAGTCGATAGCGGCTCGTGAGTTGCGCCGCAAATAAAAAAAAAAGGGCAAAGAAAAAGAAGCAGTAAGAGCTCAGAGCCGGAGCGCTCGGACATGCTAGGTGAGTGAAAAACGGCAGAAAGGCTGCGTCCAGCGCGGCGGAGGGGACGTGCACGCGCCGTATCTCGTGTAGATCGGAGGTGGGGGGGTTGGGGGGGGCTTCTTGTAATTTTGAAGCTTCTCGCTTTCTTTCTTTTTTTTTGTGTTCTAGCATGCATTCCATCTTTCCAGCGCCGTGGCTTAGACAGATTTTTCTTTTTTCTTCTGTTTTTGGGTGCCTCTCTCCCCCCCCCTCCTTTCCCCTCCGCTTTCTTTTTTCTTTTCTCTCTTTTCTTCTAGACCCCCCCCCCTTCTCGAGGCGAGATTCCGCCCTGCTCTCGATGAGTTGGGTTTTTTGGGATGCGCCTCCAAATTGCGCAGTGCCGAGTGAAAATTTTTGCTGCTCATTTCTCTCTCTCTGTCTCTCTGTCTCTTTCTCTCTCTCTCTCTCTCTCTCTCTCTCTCTCTCTCTCTCTCCCCCCTCTCTCTCTCGCTTTTTTTCTTTATTTCAAATGAAGCAAAATCAGGTTCGATCGCGATAGAGAGAGATAGAGATGTGCACACCTTCGCGTTTGGGCTTGCGTGGCTGTAACAGGATTAGCTTGCCTCGATTTTAAACGTCGTGAGGTTTTTTTTTGTTTGTTTTGTTGTGATCCATAACGTTGCATAAATCACCATGGCATGAGCTCAGGTAGGCACCTGACTGTATTAAATCTGTTCCTCTGTTCTTGTATATCTAAGTGAAAGCATAGCCGCACTTTTAGGCACGTTCGACATCAAATGAAAGTTTCATTGCGTTTATTTGCTGCCCTGAGGGCTAATCCTGGTGTCATATTTGCTTGTCATGTACATCCCTGAAAGGTTTTCTGAACTCACCTATAATCCATGTTACAGTTAAACAAAAAACTAAGAAAAACAAAAACAAAAGTGTTTACTTCAAAATCCATTGATTGATTGCCTTTCTTTCTCCCTTTCCAGATGACACCGTGGTCTGCAGCTGCACTACAGTGAACTGGGTCATTCAATCCCATGAAAATGCATGTCTGGATACCACCAATAATCTTGCTGGTTGCCGCTTCGCTGAGCCTGGTCGAGATGTATGACAGTTATGGGGAGATATGTAGGAATCTGTGCACTTGTGAGGAAAAAGAGGGCATTCTGACAGTCAGCTGCGAGAACCGGGGCATCGTCCGTCTGTCAGAAATCAGCCCGGTGCATTTTTCCACATACCACCTCTTACTGACGGGGAACCTGCTGAAAAAATTGTCTGTTAATGACTTTATCAACTACACTGGGGTCACTATCTTGCATTTAGGTAACAATGATATCTCTGAAGTGGAGACGGGGGCTTTCAATGGACTCCAGGGATTAAAGAGGTTGCACTTGAATAACAACAAAATAGACATTCTTAGGGACGACACATTCAGTGGATTAGAGAGCCTAGAATATCTTCAGATTGATTACAATTTTATTAGCATCATCGAGCCCAGTGCTCTGAGCAAACTCCACCAACTGACTGTGCTCATATTAAATGACAACCTGCTGTCATCGCTGCCTCCGAACATTTTCCGCAACGTGCCCTTGACCCATTTGGACCTCAGGGGCAATCGACTGAAAATGTTCCCTTATATCGGCCTTCTGGAGCACATGGACAAAGTGGTGGAGTTACAGCTGGAGGAGAATCCGTGGAATTGTTCTTGCGAGCTAATCACCCTCAAGGCTTGGCTGGAGAGCATAGCATACACAGCATTGGTTGGGGAAGTGGTTTGTGAGACTCCATTTCGGCTGCACGGCCGGGACTTGGATGAGGTTTCCAAGCAGGAACTTTGTCCCAGAAGAGCTATTTCGGAGTATGAAATGCGCCCACCACCGCCCCTCAGCACTAGCGGATATTTCCAGACAACTCCAGCTGCTGTAACAGCCTCAGCCACTTCCTCAGCTGTGCTTAGATCCTCCTCAAGGCCCACAAAGGGCACCCGGCAGTCCAACAGGACCAGATCCAAACCCACATCTCGCATCCCGGCAAACCCTTACAACTATGGGCCCATCATAGCTTTCCAGACCAAGTCCCCTGTCCCTTTGGATTGTCCCACAGCCTGCACATGCAACCTGCAAATCTCTGACCTCGGGCTCAATGTCAACTGCCAGGAGAGGAAGATTGAAAGCATATCGGATCTAAAGCCCAAGCCATACAATCCCAAAAAGATGTACCTCACAGGGAATTACATCCCCGTTGTGCGGAGATCGGATTTCGTAGAGGCCGAAGGATTGGATTTGTTGCACTTGGGAAACAATCGGATAGCGCTTATACATGATAGGGCTTTTGGGGATTTAATTAACCTACGCAGGCTTTACTTGAATGGCAATTTGATTGACAGGCTCACTGCAGACATGTTCTTTGGGCTTCAGAACCTGCAGTACCTGTACTTGGAATATAACAAAATCCGAGAGATCGTGGGAGGCACCTTTCGTTTCGTGCCCAACCTCCAGCTGCTTTTCCTCAACAACAACCTTCTGAAAACCTTGCCTGGAGGCATCTTTTCTAGTCTGTCGCTCTCTAGGCTCAACCTGCGCAACAACCATTTCCAGAACCTTCCTGTGAGTGGTGTTCTGGACCAGCTGAAGGCTTTGGTGCAAGTTGATCTGTTCGAGAACCCTTGGGATTGCTCTTGCGATGTGGTAGGAATGAAAATATGGTTGGAGCAGCTAAACTCTGGCACCGTGGTTAATGACGTCATTTGCACGACCCCAAAGAGGCTCGCCGGCCAAGACATGCGTGGAGTTCTTGCTGAGCAGTTGTGTCCTGATTATTCGGATATAGTTGTGTCCACCATAGCTCCTTCTGAGGAACCTTTGGCAGGCAGGGTCACCACCACGGAGATGCCCATGAGATTCAACACTCCCACAAGCACCGTCCCTCTGTCTGTCCTCATCCTCAGCCTCCTCCTTGTCTTCATCATGTCGGTGTTTGTGGCTGCTGGGCTGTTTGTGGTGGTCATGAAGCGGCGCAAGAAGTCGCAGAGTGACCGCACCAGCACCAACAACTCGGATGTTAGCTCCTTCAACCTGCAGTACAGCCTCTACAGCAACCGGTCTGTTCCCAAAGTCAAACCGCCTGCAGGCCATGTCTATGAGTACATTCCACATCCTTTGGGCCACATGTGCAAGAACCCCATCTACAGGTCCAGGGAAGGCACCGCCATTGAGGATTACCCTGATCTGCATGAGCTGAAGGTGGTCAGCTATAGGAATACACCTGAAGAAGAAAGGGATCCAACCTTACGGAGCCCAAATTACACAGTCAGTACCATTGAGCCTCGGGAAGAGCCGTCCACCATCCAGGATGCAGAACATTTCTTCAGAGGGATCCTAGAGCCAGACAAAGCTACTCCAACCAGCGCTGGAAACAGGTACGATTACAAGTACCCAAGTCCTGGCCATTACACGTACAACCCGAATTTCGACGTCAGGCGGCAGTTCTTACATCCCGAGGGAATTAGAGAGACCGTGCTGTATGGCACGGCGCCAAGTACTGTCTACGTGGAGCCTAACAGGAATGAATATTTGGAACTAAAGGCGAAACTCCAAGTGGAGCCGGACTACCTCGAAGTTCTTGAGAAACAGACGACGTTTAGCCAGTTTTAAACCATGGTCTAATAATACAGACTGTACTGTAAAAGCTTTTTTTCCCCCCTTATACTTGTACCATCTCAAGCTGGAGGGTGCCTGGGCACAGCATACGCCATCTCTAAAGAAAAAGAACAACATGAAAAGCAAACAAACAAACAAAAAAAGCAAGTCTTACAACGGGGTGTGCCAAACTGTATTACTTTAAGTTTCAAAGCTACATGACATTACAGGAAAAAAACAACTACAACAAAAAAGCTCTCTGAAATGGATGAAAGCACGAGTTGTGATATAAAACTGCTGATGCAAAATCTATTTTTTTAAGTTGAAGATTGAATACACATAAACGTAGGTGTACAGATTAATCCAAGTACATTTTTCAGGAGTATAATCATGCAGATATTGTGAACTATTGCAACAGAAAAAAATGTTTATATATAAAAAAAACAAAGAGAGTAAGAGAGAAAAAAATCACCCTCTGACAGAACACTGTACTGCAGTGCATCTAACTGTGCAGGACAATTCTTCTGCTCTAGTCTGTAAGTAAGTATTTATTGGTATACTCTTTGCCATGTATTTTCAACATTATTTGATTACCCATCAATATTACCTGTACCATATCCATCTGTACGAGCTTTCTGTTTGTAATTTCTGATCATTTACTGTAGCTTGCATTGTACAAGTGGCTTTCTTTCAACGGTGGCACACCCCCAACCCCTCAACCCCCCCTTCCCAAATTGTCAAAGAGAGACTTTTGCTTCATTTAAAAAAAAAATTTAAAAAGAAAAGTGTCTTTGTATGCCGTCTGCACTTTTTTGGAAAAAAAAACAAACACGGAGGGCCACAGGGTCTTCCCAGCTACCATTAGAGAATTATTATTATTATTATTATTATTATTATTATTATTATTATTATCATTATTATATATTAAAAATGAATATGTGTATTCATTCTTAATATGTATTTTAATATGTTATCAAAAATTCATAAATAATAATTGAAGTAATAATTATGTTGTGTAATACTGATATTTTAATGTAACACCTATTTTTATACAAGCATTCGCAAAGTTCTCTTTCCCTTATTGTTTTCATTTGTTTTTGATTGCTTTCCACTTATTGCACTATATTGACCAAAATATGTTTATGTCATCAATAAATATGATGTCAGGTTCTTATACATCATTGTCGGGGAATGCAAACCAATTTTTCATTATCGAGGCCCTCCGGCCGGAGCTGTGAGCGTACCGCAGGGTCGCGTTAGGAGGTACATTAGCGGCGCTAATCAATACATACTTGTAACCAATGTTCAGAGTTGCTCTGAACACAATCAATGGGGGTGTAGCGTTTTGGTGCTTAAACGCCTCTTTCCGTGCCGGCTGAGCTGTCCCGCAGTCCGCTACTGTACTGGAGTGAGGCAGTAGAAGGGCTTTTTACATTGAATGAAAATGACAGGGTCAAGATCATAATACCCGTAGGCTAAGTCATCTGCTGTGTGTTCATCTGTTGCATTTTAATGCCGCGTCTGAGCCGCCGCCATGATAAGGTGCAAAATAAGAAATTATGCTGGAATTGCAGATCTTGTGATTGCATTTTTTTTAACCCGTTTGACTTTGTATGAATATGAGACATGCTTGTGTGATAGAATGTGGAAATGTTACCTTGACGCCAGTGCCGAACAATTTGAGAACACTTTCAAGGTCATTTGACTGATAATTGATCAAAATTGACTGCTGCTCAACTGCAGTTAACAGACCTTTCACTGCTATGCTGTCATTTGCCATCCTGTTGGAAAGTTGAGGTGAAATATGCAGCAATATATAGACTTTTTCAAGGTAATTTGACTAATGACCAACAATCAACTCCTGCCCATTTCCCTGACCGTCCGATCTTTTTCCACCTTGTTGGAAGTCTGGGATAAAATGTCTGCTATTGCTAATCAATATATGACCACTTTCAAAGTCATTTGGTAAATAATTGATCAAAATTGGCTTCTGGTCATTTGCGCTCGACTGACCTTTCAACATCTGCCTCATCGTTTTCCAGCACGTTGGAAAGCTCAGGTGAAATATGAAAGCAGAGTGGAACAAAACCTCACAATTCCAAAATAGTAACTTTACAAGGGAAGGAAAAAAGGTTCCTAGCTTTGAATGGAAGTCAATGGAACCAGATTTCTTTCCAAGTCATTTTGGATCATTTCTTTAGGTCCATTCGTAATGGAAACTTGGATACATTGCAAATGTCAACCAGCATTTTCAAATTTTGTAAACACATTAGAAAATGTACAAAATGGACAAGGTTTTGTTCTGACAGTGAATATATAAACAATTTAAATTTTAATCTGGCTAATGACCAACAACTTCTGGTCATTTGCCTTCCTGTCCACCTTGTTGGAAATCTGTGATGAAATATCTGCTATTGCTAATCAATATATGAACCCGTTAAAGGTCTTGTGGTGAATAATTGGTCAAAACTGACTTATGGTCAATTGTGCACAATTGGCCTTTCAACATCTGCCCTGTCAATTTTCCCCTGTTTGACAAGTGAGATGATGTATCAGCTAGAGTGAGGCATGCTAGCCTTTAGCCGCTAGCTGTGTTATGAATTGGGGGCAGAGGCACTCGGACCCCTCCTTCTTTCCCAGTGATAAAGAGCTCCACTTTTCTTCATCCACTCCAGGGCCTTATTCCAGATCAGGGCTTTTTTTAGCTGCGGCAAAATGAGGGGCCGTGCCCGAGGGTTTTAGCCGAGCAACTTGTGGCTCTGGACCGGAGTGGGATGAATCAGACAGCTGCAAAGCCACCAAGGCCTATTATGGCAGGACAGACCTTGACACAGTGTTAATCTCTGAAATGCTGCCAAGGGATTGTGGTGTGATTAATTGGAGAGGGGTGGTAATCGTCAGGAGAATCTGCTCCGTTTGGGAATGGAAACTTATGATGCATATCCCTCCACGTTAGCCTTGTTAGTGTCTCGGGAGGATTATGTGTGAAGTTTGAGGTTTTTGACACGGCTAATGGAGTTTATCTCGAATCCCACTGTTCCTGAAAGGGTGAAAGAGAGTGTGGCTGACAGCTTCAGGCTTTTCCTCTGTTTAGGAATCCACCTGTTAACTCTCTTTTTTGCATACTTTCTTAAAAATAAGGGTTCTTAAGTGGTTATTGGCTTGGACGTATGGTCCTAGGAGAAACCTTTATTGGTACAGAACGTTTATGTGGAGATTCTTTAAACTTTAAAAAGGTTCTTCACACCGACACATCTAATTTTCTTGAAAGAACCACCCCTGGAAAGGCTCTTTGACCCCCTAAAATCCCAGGCTTGTTACATACTAAGGCTTATTACTCAGTAATTACAGGGACTTCAATGCAAACAGGTCAAACTATTCTTACGTTATAGGAGTGTATAATAAAACTTTGTGGCCTTTGGAGGGGTTGAGGAACTAAAGGCAGCTCTTTTACGATATCACTCCCACAACAACCCACTCTGGCAACTTTTAGAGATCCATGGCAGTATTTTTTATGACAACTTCTAAACAACAAATCTAATTGTTATTTTATCGTTTGATTATTGCAGTTTCATTGGGCCTCACTCACCAATATCTTTCTAATTTATTTCTGAAATTGGTTCTTGAGAAAGGTCCTAAGGAAAAATCTATGTCAGATTCATAAACCACAGAATTCTTTACACCTTTGTGCTCTTAAATGTGAGTGTGTGTAGATTCTGTTCTTACTTAAGAACAAATCCCAAATAAGAAAACACTGGTGAATGGCAGAATCTTTGTGAAAACTGTTCAAATGGGTTTTAAGAAGAAATTTCTTCTTGACCACGGTTGGAGAATGAGGCCCAATGTTTTGATGGTTTTACACAATCACAGCTCATAGGTTAATTTGTCTTAGCAAAACACCTGTAGATTCATGTTTCAACATGTTGGAGAATTCTAACCTCCATGGTTCATGATCAGGAGATCATTTCTCTTGTATGTACTGTACAGTGATTGCTTTTCATCTGAGGTTGTAGTATGAAATTGACGTGCTCCCACTCAGTTCATGCATGTACCTGCCACCATCCAAATCTGCCCTCCACTAATTGCTCTGAGTCACTGCACCCTCCTCTATGTGTGCGTATGCGTGTCTGGCCCGCCGAGGTGACCCTGAACGGCGCTGACAGGATCCCGGCTAATGGACGAATGCATTAGCCATGTTGCATCATGGGAAAGGAATAAAACATGTATCTCCTGCCCAGCGAATAACGCTTTTAATCATCTGACGAGGGCCCGGGGATGGGCGTGATGTTTCATTACCCTTTCGATTAATTTATACGTCGCTTTTCGGGGCGTGCGGTTGGGTGGGCGGGGTCAGTGGACCCTGGAGGGCAGCGATGATGTCTGACTCGCCACGTGCACGATTGAGTTCAAGGAGAACCGGCTAATTGAGAAGGCAGAGATGCTATCTGACAGGCACCAATGAGCCTGTTGATTAGTTTAATCATGATGGCTAATGGAAGTCCCGGAGCCATGGGGGAAAACGTAGCTTAGCCTTCATTTTGCAGGTTGAGGAATGCTTTTTTTCCAGGTTTGATGAAAGACCGTGTTGCTGTTTACCTCGCTGATTTGTTTTCCCGTTTAGAATACCCTTGATTCCTCTTCTGTTTATGTCGTTTCTCCTCAGGGATACAGTTCTGCTGCCGCGCACCGCTCTATTTATTGCGCCCCTGCGTCCTACAAAAACTGCTGAACGCCTCGACCGCCGCCGCCCAATTATCACTCTGTTTGCACTCTCGGAGCAAGTGTGCTTATCTTTTCGTTTGTTTAAACAGAGGCTTGGTTGCCCCTTATTTGATGGTGGAGGTGTAAAATCTTTCTGTATCATTATGACAGATGTGACGCAAATTATGTGTGAACATTGAACAATTGCAAACTCGCTATCTGGCTAATATCCTTTCTGTTTTTCTTTTTGGGAGGTCTTTTTTTTGTACACAAGGTCTGTTCAGCTGCTTGACACAGCAGATATTAGACCAAAATGTTTGCAAGAGAAACTGGGATATATTTTGGTGTTATTAAAACCATCGATAGTCTTGAAGTGTCTTGAATCCTGTATGAACATTGATCCACAATCCTGTGGCTTTAACCTAATATCCTTTTGTATTAATGTAATATGCTAAGCGACATATGTGAAGGCACAGCATAATGTACGTTTGTTTCTGTGGCAAATATAAATTTTGACACTGAAATCCTTTGAAATGACCGCAGTTGACCAGATTTTATTTGGATGCCGGACTGTTCTCCACTGTCCAAATAAATGACAGTGTCTCTGCTAGGTTGAGAGAGGTCCACCACTCAATGAATCCAGCCAAAAGCAGCTCTGCGGTCAGAAACTGACCAGTGATGAAGGGCTAGACACAAACTGTGCCTCAGCAGATGGACTGCAGTCTCTAACTGTACACAAGCAAGGTGGAGCCTCGAGAAAGGGCTTCCTGATGAAGTGGACAGCAAGTCTAGAAGTCAGAGGAAGTCAGTAGATTCAGATAATCAAAGACATGCTTTTAAGACTCTGTCCATAAATCTGATGGACGGTGACTCCACACCTCTGACCCTTTCCTCCTGATTTGCAGCAAATCAAGTAGCAGGGTCGCCCTTTCATTGTTTTAAAATCACTGAGCAATCCCCGAGTCGACTGCTGGTGACGTGCTGAGGAAGAATTATGACTTTCTCTCTGCTTTCCATCCAAGATTTTCCATCTTCTGTCATATCTAGTAGTATGGAGGTCTTCTGCTTC